TCCTCGCGTTTGGGACACTGTTTGTCGGACCCTTGATGAGCTCCACCACAGTTGGCGCATTTGCATGTTTCCGACTCGTCGACAACGCACTCGGAGGAAACATGATTTTGGGCGCATTTGCCACAGCGCGGATTGATGTAGCAGTTTCGGGTGCCATGCCCGAAATTCAGGCAACGCTGACACTGGGTGACGTCGTGACGGCTGCCACGGTATGGCTCCCATTGAACAATGATGAAGTTGATGGAGCGGATGGCCTTCAACGCATTGAGCGTCACCCCCTTCTGGAAATGAACCAGGAAAAGGCAATCCGGGTACGTTTTCACGTTTTCGTCTCTCCTCGTCATCCGGAAGACTGCGATTGGGGCTAGCTTGTAACGGTCCTTAAGTTCTTCTTCGATCGACTTGGGGTTGAAGTTCGGTAAGCCCCTGATGACTACCTTGAAGGGCTTCTCACCGGGGATGTCATGTGTGAAGTATTCCGCCCTGGAATCCTTCAGGTACTTCACGGTTGCTTCGTACTCCGCTTCACCTTGGTGCCGATCCTGCTCAGCTTGAATTCAGCTGCAACGCCCAGCGATGTGAGATGCTAATGAGCGTGTTGAGTGGCACTTTCATCACCACCAGTGGAGGAAGCTTGACTTTTGCCGTACGGCCACTCGCACCATCGGACTGGCCCTGATTCTTCTTCCTTTTCTTCGTCCGCTTCACTTCCGCTGGTAGGGCATTCCCAACATCGGTAGGAAGAGTAGCGTACCTATTTGTGATAGGTACGCACGAGCTACCTTCACCACTATTCTCCACTTTCTCACGGAGCTTGCTCCGTACGCGCTGCCTTCCCATCACACGATGCAACCGGCACTACGACACGAACAAACGCGCAACTCAAACAACTCGACTGAGCGAGCCAAAACCGGACTAAACTGCTTGACTACTACACTATTCGAGCCTCAGTTGGAACCATAAATGTACATCAACTGGACTGAATGAGTGAAGTGCAAACGATCGACTGATGGTGAATTCCTTCTGCCTCGAATGACCTCCGGCTGAGGAAGAAAATAACGGACTCTGTCCGAAACAAAGAGAAACAGGTCCCGTAGAATGGACCTACCCACCCAGTTATTACATGGACGTCACATAATTTAACCTTTTACAAACGTTATGAAAATAAACAATTACCCTTTTCTTACTGAACACTGTTATAACTTATAATTCTTTCAGGTACTGAATCTGATCATTCAGACCTTTTCCTAGTGGAACGAGAAACGATTTTATTTTAACCTAAATGTTCATAATTTTTATTCTGCCAGCATTGGCTCTACCTTAACGTACTATCGGCAACACAACGTTATACACGAGTAATCACTATCCTCAGTCTACAGTTCCACTAAATATATCAGGCGTAACATTTAATAACGGCACAAAAGCTTTTGTAAACAAACTTTGTAAGGCCCTTTGCACGTGAACCGAAGAACGCCCACGCAAACCAACAACATCATCGGGTAGGGGCAACTCTCACCTTTCCGAAAGTGGTATTGGTTTGGGTGGGCGTACTTTGGTTCACGTGCAAAGAACCTTACAAAGTTTGTTTACAAAAGCTTTTGTGTCGTTATCAAATGTAACGCCTGATATGTTCACTGAAAGAAGAGCAAACGTTAAACTATCTTACACCACATGCAGAATCACATACAATTTTTAATTTGAATAACCGCGCGCACTACAACTCCCTACGGAGGTCTTGGGCAGAATCAATCGAACATCTAGATTGCCGAGCATAGCAAACCGAACCCAAATAGTTGACCCTTTGTTTCCAGTAAAACATTTCCTTCGGTGGCATCATCTTTGGTTTCGCTTTTTTCTGCAGCGAAGCGGAGCGGCGCAGTGTTTTCCGATGGTTCAAACCGCTGCAAACAAAGTGGCTCTCACGAGTTAATGGTGAGATTGTGCTATAATAGGGTTGTGTAGAGCGCTGTTTAAACCTACTAATTATTTACATACATGATGACAGAGTCACCTCAAAATATTCACTGTAACCATCGGTTACACGTTTTTATTACCGCTGCTTTTCTCCTCCCTACCCTTCATTGGTGAAATGGTGAGCGATCAACCGAGCATTGAGCTCGCTCATGTGAGTATGCACAATGTGCCGTTTGTTCGATTTGCGCTTTATCGTTGCGTCCGTGTTTGGGATTTTTCGTTACATGTCTGAATTTTGACGTCAAAAGAAGTTAGCAAAAACCCAGCACCCAATCCCAGAAAAAAGGGAATTTTCTTTCCTACTGTTCTATTTTCACGGACATCTCCCGCAACCATTTCAAGTGTTTTTTTTCTTTCTTATATTTGATTTCATCTTTCTGATTTACTACTTCAATACGACACCTTCAATAACGAGACAGTAACAGTATGATTTTGCTTGTGTGTGTGTGTTTTGTGTTTGTGGTGTGATTTCATCATCTTTCATATTTGTTTTAATCATCATAATCATCATTACTTTTAGTTTGTGTATGCAAGTGTTTGTTTTTTTTTGTGATACATTTTCTGTTGCTTTTTTTTTTGTTATTAGCTTTTAAAATCGTTTAAACTTATCAATTACAAGAAATAATGTATGAATGCAATAGTAGTAGATATAAAAAGAACTAAAAGCATAAGCAAACTGGTTAAATGTAACAACTCTATCATTCAATCTAACTAGGAAGTTCAATTGCGTTAATATCTGGAAGGGGGGAAGTAAAATGTGTTTATCCATTTTCTGTTATTATTTGACTTTTTACTTTTTGTTTGCTTGATTTTCATCTTAATCGTTTACTATTTGCGTGAATATCCATATATAAGTTTATCATATACTTATGGGGCAATGTAAGCTTCCTTGTTCCTTTTTTTTTATTTATTTATTTAAAGTAGAATGAATCGAAAACAAACGTTAAAACATGTTGAAACAATTTCGAGAAGTTGATCGGTAATTGGTTGCGTTTGCACTTGCTGCAGTAACAAACATTTATGAAAGTTCGGTTCGCTCCCGAAACCGAATTTCGAGACACACAAATATGGCTGCTGATGCTGTTCTGTTTTATTTAGTTATATTTTTTTTTACAAATTTCGAGAAACGCGTCGGTCAGTCGGATCCCTTTCGTATCTCGGTGTGCTGTTCTGTTAACGTGTACTTAAATAGTTAGTTGTTTTTTTTTTACTTCAGTTTTTCAATCAATTTTAGCTGGATGTTTTTGGAACGTTTCACTGTTGCTGTTTTCCTTCGATTTGTTTTCTGTTCAGGCATGGTGCGCAAAACAAAATCTTCATAGCTTGTTCCTTTTCAGAAGACGAACGAAAATGTCCAGCATTTTCTACGAAATAATCTTAACTAACGAGACAAATTAAAAGGAAAGCCTTGCTTGCTTGCGTTGGTTGGCTCTGCTTGCTATATAATAATAGTGTAACGAGATTGATGATGTTTGTTTTTCGCTGCTATTTAGCTAGTGGTGGTGGGTGCAGTAAGGATTTTTGTTTTCGTGATTGTGAAAGTGTGTCGCGTTTTTTTTTTGTCGTAGTTTAGTTGTAGTAGTAGATTAAATGTTGCTTGTTTTTTGTTGTATATATTGTCTTACAAGGATACAAAAATACACGTGTTTGTGTAAGCTCATGTTATATATCTCTCCAAAAATGCGAAAAGTCTACAACTTTGCTGCGAAATACGTTCGAAAGAGTTCGATTTGTTTTGTTTTGGTTCACATGTATAGTGGTAATAGAAGAGTGTAGTAGTAGCAGTGTTTTTCTAGTTTGGATTGATACTGTCAATTCGGAGGAAAATTAGCGCGGTAGCTAAAAATCCAACGCAGAATGCTAATTGTTCTCTGGATTGGCAATACCGGCATACCATTTGATTTAGACATTGTGGTTTTTGTTTTGGTTTCGCTCTGCCGTTGAATGGGCCTGAGCAAGGATTTGTAGGGTTAGTTCGTGAGCCGTTGCAGGAAAGTCAAGATAGGTACACACGGAGAGTGATTTTGGCCGCCGCACCGTGCTGTGTGGTACTAGAATATTGAAAGCATTGAAGTAACTGAGGAAAATTCAATCTAAGTTTGAAACAGGTTCCCAGGGCTCCTATGTATTGGGGGAGATTTGTAAACGGCTGCACTGCTGTGAAAAGATATATTCAAATATCACAAGGTCAATTTAGCCAGAGGTTCTAGTACTACGAATCGCTAACCAGTGGTAAACATCTTGAAACCGTTTCAGTCTGACAGGACGCAAGTTTTGCACGGGGCAAAGAAGTTGCTGCGAATGAGCCCTTGTGCAACGGAAACAATGCTGCTCTGGTCGGTGAAAACAGGGGGAAGAAAATGACAAATACCCTGATCAGTTCCCGACTGGATGCAGTTCAAATGACGGAAGATTAGTTAATTAACCGTTGTTGCTGTTCTCCAGAGCACCATGGGACAATCCCTCTCTCAGGAACGTTGCGTCTCTTCTCTTAGATCACTTCATACTATAATATGGCCTTTGCTACAGTTTTGCGACTATCGATGACGGCGTTTTGTGGTACTAGAACTATGCTAGGTACAAAACTGTTTCTGTTTCGTACTGATCGTACTTTTTCTCTCGTTACTGTCAGTGTAGATTTGAAAAGATATCGTCGTTCTCTTCTACTGCTGGCTGGTGGTGTGATTTTTGATTCACTTGTCTCTCGCTAAGATTCTAACTTTGTGCTTCATTTTGTTTTCATTTGCTACATTTCTTTCGTCTTAGAGCGGCATCAAAGTCTTATAAATTATCAGTTTTTTCTCCTTTGCGGTTCCACCTTAATGGTTCTACCAAAAAGGGCGATATTTTTTTTATGTTTCCCTATATTCCTATTATAGCTGCTGATCTCTAGTTTTGCTTTCTTATTAAATATATATATATATGTTCTGCTTAACGGTCCTTACAATAAATCTCTGCTTGATTTTTTTAAAATTATTTTCTATTCATTATAGTTATAATTAATAAAGATTGATATTTTTTTAATCTTTTATCTTAAATGTTAAACACTGTACCTTAAATTCTTAGTATTTTCACTAGTTAAGTTTTGTTTTTTTTTTGCATTTTCTTTTGTTTATCAATACTTGCCTCATGTTATAATAAGTTAACAGAAATAATTTAAAATTTTGTTTATTACTTTCTTTGCATGTTTCCAGCATTAGTTTAGATTATTATTTAATATGCTTCCGTGTTATCAATGGCTACTTAGTACAATTTGCTTTTGTTGCTTCATCCACAAATACTTGCTCAATTGTTTTTTGTTTTGTTTTTAAATCCATCAAGTTATAATAATGTGCTTGTTGTTATTTTGATATTGATGTTTCAGTTTTTTGTTGTTTTTTTTTTTTGCTAACACACACCTATTTATGTTTGTTCTGTTGAATATTTTTTTTTTTTTAATTTTTTCCACATATTTGGCAATTTCTCCACCCTACAAAACAGTTACAAATGAAACGAATCGATTTTGTATTAATTTCACATATTTGCTTTCTCTCAAATATTTGATTCAAATAGATTTACTTGAATCCAAAGCTGGTGCTAAATAGCGGCGGTGGTGACTTCTTGCTCACTCTCCTACAATTTGATACCCTCTCGCGTCGTTCGCTTTTATCTATCCGATCCCACAAATCGGCTAATTTTATATAATTTTCTCTTTCTGTTTAAACATTTCGAATCCTCCAATTACAACACTCCATTTCTGTTTGATAGTATTAATGTCCAGTTCTCTAGTATTTTTCGCTATTAAAGCGTCTTCGGGGCTAACCTAAAAATGAAAACAATACGCTACGAATTACACATGTATGCGAAAACAAAAGAATTTCAATGGTTGACTACTGCTGTTTGCGTCTGAATTTCGAATTTCGATCACCATCATCATTCCACACTGACTGACTACCAGGTGCGCTGCTGAACTGCCTTTTCTCTCCGGAACGATGCTGCAGAATTCCTGTTTCTGTTGTATGCAGAGGACTTCCGAAGAATACTCCCGGGCTACGCTGCTGCTGCTGTTGTTGTTGTTGTTGATGTAAGATGTTAATTCGTCAACCCAGAAGCATCGGACGCCATCGGTGCATCAGGTTGAAATTCCGTAGTCCAGAAAGAAACCGCACCTCAGCTGCTTGTGGATTATCATTTGAGCTAACCCCACCCTTTGGCAAATTTTTCTACCGTCAATCGAAATGGGGTCTAAAATTAAGCTTTTATTTTTTTTTCTGTTATAGTTGTTTGTTGGTTTTGCTGGTGGTGTGGCGATGGCGATGATTCTATGCTATCTGAAGACGCTGGACGACACATCCTGATGCTTATCGGATGTCGGTGATGTTGTTCTTGCTGCCGAAGATCTTCACCAATTGTGACTCGTAGTCGCCGATGCTGCGCTTCATGAGATCCATACACGGACCGAGCAGCCGTTCGAATGCGTCCACGTCCAAAACTGAAGGAATGAAGGAAAAACAGAGGGTTTGAGTTGAGTTTGTGAACGTTGATTTGTTAGGTTGGTTTAAGTGGTTAATAAACTAAATTTGGTTAGAAGATAGAAGCCAATTTGCAATAGATTTTAAGTACGTAATATGAGCGGAGATAACTTACCTGTGGTTGGACAGGTTAATAGGTTAGTTGGTGGATAACTACATTCAAAGCATTCAGTTGTTTTAGATACACCTTACTTACCACTTATGTGTTTGTGCTTGCCCTTTTTTCATTGGATTAACTATGATTTCAATTTGAGATGATACGAAAGATGACCCTCACAAGTCTCCATAACCCAGGAAATATTTGTCAGTTTGAAAAACAAAATATAATGTATATTTACTTCAACGCGTTATCAAATATTATAAATTAACAATATGGTTCACTCTTCTATTATCCCCAAGACACGATTTTCCCCGACACTAGCGCCACTAGCGACACGAAAGGTGACTAGTACACTGTAAATTTAGCGCTTAGCTGTTGACAGCTCAATATCAACATGACTATCGAAAACAACTTACAATTTTATTTTATTTTTATTTTATTTTTATTTAATGCATCCATCTGACAATAAGTCTTAATGAACCAGAAGCCATAACAAATACTAAATGTATCTGGAGTTAATAATACGACTCTGGAATTGAGCAACAGGTTCTCCAAACTCGAACAACTCTTCAACTGTAGAAAACGTGCGAATCATACTCGTAACAGGTTCATGTTGTCCAAAAGAAGAGCGGTGTGAGTCTTGACGCAATAGGAACGTTGAGCGTAGAAATCTGCTTGGCGCACGAAAGTTCAAGCAAGAGAGTAAGTGGGTAGAGTCAATTTCACCACTTAATAACTTCGCGACGAATGTTGCCTGTTGAATTTGTCGCCGTCGTTGTAACGTGTCCATGCTTAGCAAGCGACATCTCTCAGCCACATCTATGACACAAACGTCATTCCCATATACTTTGCGTGAAGCCGAAAAATCCTGGTTCTCTGGTTCGATCGAACCAGAGAACCAGGATTTTTCGGCTTCACGCAAAGTATATGGGAATGACGTTTGTGTCATAGATGTGCTCTCAGCATACGGAGGTAAGTTTAGTGGATCTCTCCAAGGAAGTTGTCTTAATGCTCGGCGAATGAATGTTTTTTGGATACGTTCTATACTGATGTTCCAGGAAAGTTGGTAGGGAGTCCAAACAACAGATGCAGTCTCGATAATCGGACGAACCAGTGAACAGTACAGTGCTTTTAAACAGTACGGATCCGAAAAATCTCTTGAGATTCTTGATATAAAACCAAGCTGACGATTAGTCTTAGTGATTACCATTGAACGGTGTAAGTCAAACGTAAGTTTAGGGTCCAGCATTACACCTAGGTCGCTTACTTGTTCTACTCTTTCTAGTACAAATCCATCAATTGAGTAATCGAATACGATTGGCGTTCTTGTGCGATTAAATGTCATGACCACACATTTTGATATACTGACGGAAAGCTTGTTTAAGCGGCACCAATCAACAAATTGGTCTAACATTGCTTGGAGCTGACGGCAATCCTCGACGTTCTTGACAACAATGTATAGTTTGAGATCATCGGCGTATATGAGCACACAACCACTCGGCAAGAGGAGCGTCACATCGTTGAAGAAGATTGTGAACAGCAATGGTCCTAAATTGCTGCCCTGGGGAACACCGGAGGTTGCAGCAAATGGTGATGAAGTGCACGAACCCAGCTTGACACGAAGTGTTCTGTTGGAAAGATATGATTTCAGCCAATCAACCAAACCATCCGAAATTCCCAGGCGAGACATTTTCCGAAGAAGAATACCATGATCGATGCAATCGAATGCCGCTTTCAGATCGGTATAAACGGTATCAACTTGAGCCCTATTTTCCAAGTGATTTATACATGTTGAGGTGAACTCCAGCAAATTTGATGTAACTGAGCGTCCTGGCATAAATCCGTGTTGCGTTGCTGAAATGTAGCTCTTGACATGAAAGAAGATAGCATCGTTCACAATGATCTCGAATAATTTTGAAGCTACAGATAGACTTGTTATGCCACGATAATTTGTCACGTCACGTTTGTCGCCCTTCTTATGGACAGGGAACATAAAGGAATGTCTCCATATTTCGGGGAAAACTCCTTGGTGCAACGAAGCGGTAAAGATGCGAGCTAGGGAATCAGCTAAAACAGCAACACAGCGGCAAAAAATGATTGCAGGTACACCATCAGGACCCGGTGAAACAGATTTCTTCAACTTCCTAACAGCTTTAACGACATACATATTGCTAACCACAAATGTACGCAAATGGATGAGACCCTCAGGAACATTGCAAGCCGCTCTTTCTACTTCATCTGCGTTGGCGACTGAATCCGAAAAAACAGAACTGAAGTGGCGGGAAAATAGATCACACGATTCGAGCATAGAAGTAGACTCCAAATCGCCAAAAAATACGGATGAAGGAATATTCGACGATTTTCGCTTGGAGTTCACAAACTTCCAGAAGCTCTTGGGATTTCTACGTAAATTGGTCTGGACACGCAAGACATATGACTTGTATAGGGTTGAATTAAGCTTACGATAGGCGTTGCAAGCGCGATGAAAGTTGCGTTTCGTTTCAGAAGTTCGATGTCGGCGAAGTTTACGCTGCCAGGAATTTTTATCGCGTTTCAAAAGCCGCAGGAGAGGAGAACTCCAAGCAGGAGATATAGGAGGTTTTCGTCTTGGAGTGTTATCGGTGAGCCAATTGCAAATTATGTTGCAAAATTGTGCTGCCATATCGTTGACGTCATTTGTTGCCAGAATACTGCTCCAATCACAGCTCATCAGGAACTCGTTGAGCATGACGATTTTTGAGTAGTCGAGCGTATGTTCACCAGCATCAAGGGATTCCACACGTTGGTAAGGAGAATAAAATCGGTGGATGATGCAATTGAAATTGAATACAATTTTACTCAGTATTGTGAAAAATTAAACCATAAATTACTCAACATCATGCACTCATTTTTCAATGATTGCACATAAACTTATACTCTACAGTACAGTCCACAACACTCAACTTTATCGTTTTTGTTTTTACGTACAGTGCATCTTACACTCAAAAAATTCTACACGTCATCATCATGTGTCTCACACTTAATTTTGCGCTTATTGTGAAACACATCCATTTCATGTGTGAATCTTATGCTATGAATCATGCCTGAACACTATGGATTTGAATTGTGACACACTTGGATTCTATGTGCCTCATATGGTGATATCAATAGCTTTGCACATCATAGTTCAATATTCTACAATATTCTACTTTATCGACTTCTACTTTGCCGACTCTAACAATGAATCGTCAAATATATAAACAAAACTGCCAGAGGCCAGAGCTTTCACATATCTTTTTAATTGGTCTGATTTGGGATTCGATCATGGACTGTTGAGGTGTGCTGCTGCCGGAGTCTTCGTTCGATCCCACTATGCCACGGTTGTTCTCATATATGGGGCGGGTTGATAGGATAAAGTCACAACTCTTGTTTTCGATGTTTACCTTTCTGAGCAAGCAATTCACATCGCATTGAAATGCAAAACACTTTAAATCCATCTGTTTTGAACAGTAGTGTGATTCAATGTGCAATACACTTGAATAGATAGTGAAAGATTTTCAACATTTCCAAGTTTGAAACACTAGAAATTAACGTGTATAACACATTGAACCAAGGTGAAATACACTTAAAGTAAATGTGATTGTGCATTTAAAAAATCAAGTGTTTAAACATTTCGATCAAACGTGTGGAATTTTTTGAGTGTAGATCCATAGGCCAACATTAGAGCCATTTCCCCTATGTTATGTCGGAAATTTTTGACCATATTGTAAATAACTTTCTTATGCACGCCGTCGTTTATTGGCAATGTGGTTGAAAATTTTAAAACTATAACACGTCGGAAATTTCGAATTATAAATGTGCTAATTAGTTGACCATTTTTAAACCAGCCCGTCAATATCCGGCAAGTGCTTCCGATAATTTGATATTACGTACACGCAAAATTCAGCATATTTGTAGTTCTGTGTCAACATTTCAGCTCAATTGATCATAACAAAACAAAGTTGCAACATGCCAAAGTTGGCTAGTTTGTATGAAAATCGGCCTTTTGTGCTAATTTAAAAGCCACCACTGTATGATGGAGTGACAGTTCAGTCACAGACAAACAGACATAAGATCTTAAAAGAAAATTCTTCAAAAATATCGTCAAGCGTATTTTGCATGCACACTAGCACCAACCGATGGAAACTAACGATTTTAAATTGGCTCACTACTTGACTAGCCTATTGGTCCCAAGTTAATCTATTAGCGGACCCCATGTTAGTCGAAGTTCTAGTACTACACTATGTTTGTTTTGATTTGCTATGAAAGGGGATTTATTTTGTTTGTTCAGTGTGATTTTTCTTTCATGGGAAAAAGTTTTTAAACGTTGTCTACCACCTCTCATCACTTTAATGTGTACACAGCAAACACATATAATATGTATCAATCAGTGCTACTCATAATGATGTATTGTAACTGGTTATGTCTTGTTCAAACTACAGTGTTATAACATGTTTCAAGGTTTTTTTTTAATAATTTATTTAGGAGATTTTTAGCCACGGACTAATTCATCTCCGTTGTTACAAGGGTGTTATAATAATTGTCAACAAATAAAACGTCATCAAAACAGCCTTGTAATAATTAAACAACAAGTGGAATGACCAATGTGCAGCTGCTTGGATGTAATATTCATCAACTCTGTATTCGTTCGATTAGTAAGTGGTATGTGTCTCCAGGCATCCCTTGGCCCTCTTATCATTTTCAACAACTGCAATCTACTAAATTGACCTGAAAAAGAACTGGAATCACTGACAAGTTAGAAATAAGGTGGCTTGCTTAACGTTTCAGTGGCGCCACCATGACAAATGCGAGCACATTCCCTACTACAACCTTATTTGCGAA